ATATTATAATGTTGTAAAATGAAATTATTAATTAATTTATATGGGAAAATAAAAGATAAATTAGTGTAATTTTGTTAGTAAACTACCTAATAAAAATAAATATTTAATAACAATTTAAAATAATTTTCAATAAATCTCCATAATTACACAAATGTAATAATTTTTTAAAAAATTTTCATAAAACTACATTTTTGTAAAATAACATTTGGAAATAAAAAGATATAAAATTTTTGAAAGCTTATTTAAAATGTATTACAAAGTTTTTGAAAATTATTGGAATATTTTGGAAATTTTAGGAAAACTTATTACATTTGATAGATTTTGGAAAACTATTGAAAAATTATGTAATTTTCATTGTAAATTATTAAAGATAAATGAGTATGGGAAAGGTAAAATTGTAATTTTAACCAATAATTACACAAATTATTAAGATAAGTTAGTATAATATTGGAAAAAGGAAATTATTGATTATTTTATATTAGAAAATATAAGATAAAATAATGTAATTATGTAAGTAAACCATTTAAAAAGAAAATAAATTATTTAATAATAGTTTAAAAATAAAATTGAACAAATTTTCAAAATTACACAGTATATCCTTTTGATATTACATTTCAAAATTTGAATAAGTTTTCCAAAATTTTCTTAAAATTACATATTTGAAAATTAAAGACAATTCTGTGTACTTTTAGAAATTTAACATGTGGTTGATACTCAGTATATCATTTTGTTAATTTTTGTCATCAAATTGAATATTGGGTTRATAGGGTGTGGTTGCCTTGTCTTGAACCCGCCCGACACTAGGGATAGGGTAAGGAAAATTCAAGGATTCCCCATCCTTGATGAGGAGTGTGTGCTTTGTCCTAAACTCATCTGAACACTGGGATGGGGTGGGGATGGGGTAGAGTGTCTTCACTATAGGGTGGGGATAGGGATGGGGTGCCCTGCCCAATTTCCATTCTTATATAATTGTTAATTATTARTGAAATTAATAAAAATGTTAGATTTTATAATTATTTTTATTTATTTAAAGTCAATCAAAATTTCATTTAAAAATAATAAAAATGATAACAATTATTAAAATTACTACAAATGATTAATAAAATTAAATTTATTAAGAAATATTTATTCATATTAAATTAACAATAATTATTTTCTGTAAATCAACATTAAATGAAAAATACAATTACATCAAATTTTGATTATTACTTTATCAATTAATTAATAAAAAATAAAATCATCAATCTTTCAGATTTTTCAGTGTATCACACAAGTCCCCACTAGTATACATATATGATAAATGTATACATCATGGATTTTTTATGAACAAGTATATTATGTATTTATGACATATATCTATACTATTAATCACAGACATGCCTTGGTTTTGCTGCAACTAATAAGTCATATCTTTGTGACTTTGCCCTTTTACTAGCACACGCGTGCATATCAGCATATCACATGCCCTTACACTACGTGATTATAAATGAACTCGCTGAAGCACATCATGCATTTTATTTATTTAGAAACATTTTTTTAATTATATATACATGCATAAATGTATAAAATATGTATATGTGAATTTATTAATAATACTTACATATATTTTTAATCCAAGCYCGAGTTATGTTGGATTAAATTCAGGTTAGAATTAAGTTGATAAACTTGGGCTTGACCTTGAATTGGGCCATGTCCGAATGTAATCTACGTTAGGATTGGGCCTGGATTGACCCTCAACCCGACCCATCCTGTTCAAGTTGCACCCCTGGTAAGAGCTTCATAAGAAAATATTTTCTCAAAAAAAAAAAAAAAAAACTTCATAAAAAATATTGCTTCTCATTCTCAGTGCTTCAAACGAACTGCATCCGTGTTTTCAGGTTGAAGCTTATCCAAACGCAACCTACTTCAATTTAAAATTGAAATAATGTTTTCCTTCCAATAATGACTGTTACATTCAAAACACGTGTCCTAGTTGGCGGAGTTTTAACATTTTAGAACACGTGTACACCTTACTGGGATCGCGTGCTCCAATAAAAGTTTGGCTTAAACTTTAAACTCTCTCGTTGCTTCACTTCAGACTTCACAAGCTTGAGTTGAGGCCTGAGGGTTCATCATCTCTTCCTTCAAACGTTCACCACTGCAACAGCAGCCAATCTTCCTCTTCTCTTGGTGCCCGGTGGATCTACTCTCCGTATCGAGAAGTGACGTTGCCGGATGCTACTATCCGGTTTGTGGTAATCGCAGCCAAATTTTCTTTTTCTTTTTTTTTTTTTTCCCTTCAAACAAAGAAATACTCTTCTCATTTTACGTTTTCTTCTCAGACGATCTTACAGGTTTGGTTTGGACGGTTGAAACAAGTTCAGAAACTATTTGATCGTCGAGGTGCTTCTGTTGATATAGGTATGCATTCTAAACAGAGTGCAGTTGATACTTCTATCCGGTGTACAATCTGGAGTTTAACTAGTACATGCCTGTACTGTAACTACGTACCTTTGACAAACTAATGTTCAACTCAGAGAAGTCAAGAGCATGTTCCAGAAATCAAGTGGCTTCCATTTTGTTGATAGTGGTTGAGTTTTAAGACTCTCGATCATCTACGTGACATGGCCTCGACTTCTCACAGAAAAACTAGGATACATCAAAGTCAATTTGTTGTGCTCACTAGGTGTTTGACGAGACTCTTACCTGTCTTCGTTTGGTCTTTTAACAACGTCAGATAGTGCAAATAAGTCCATTACTCCATCTGTCAACGGATCATTTGGAATAACAAGTATACTATTAAAAGCAACCTAAAGAATCAGTAACTAGCATCCTCAACAAGAAACTTGAGATTATTTCGAATAGCTTCCTTATAGGCATGTTACCCTGAAAGTCATTTTGAGAATTGAGGTCCATAGCTAAGGTGAACTGGGTTTGATTTTTTTTTTGTCTTTTTGATATCTTTATCTTTCTCTTATCTTATTTTTAATATGTTGAAAATTGAAATGGGATGATATATTCTGATCTGAGAATTCATTGCTGTATCAAAGATTGAGCAGTTCCTAGATACTACAGCCTTGGTTGAACTTATATTTTGAATGGTTTTAGTGATTACTCCACAGTGGCAGATCCAGGACTTTGATCAATGGGGGAAGACATTAATAACAACAACTTAGTCATACCATTTGAATAATCAAAACAAAAATTGGGATTAAAACATTTTCACTTACTAAAGGTTGTAAAACACCAAGGAAAAGATCTCATCCCAAAAGGGGGAAATGCATCAACAAATTCAAGTGCATCCTTCAAGAATGAATAAGATAGAAGGAAGGATTCTACCTGGTTTGTCTCCTTGATTTCCTCCTCCACAGTCCAGCAACCCGTTCCAACCCTAAATTGGAAAAGAGAATAGATGGTTTTGGATGATCCCTTTAGTTCTCAGGGATAATGCTTGTAACATTGAAAGAAGATAATAGGGTATAGAGTCATGTAATTTCTCATTATTCCATTTCAGTTTTAGATTTCAAGTAGGTCCTAGTGTGTGTGGGTGTCATACAAGTCATTGTTGTATATTTGAGTGGGGGCAATTATAAAAAAAGGTCAAATGCCTTCTTTAACCACATGAAACTTTTCAAAATGTCAGTGGGGGCAATTGCCCACACTGACTTCTATATAAATCTGCCCCCTGTTACTCCAATCAAAATTCTTTATACTTTCATTGTTCTATGACATGTGAGAGCATTGTAGACCTATTCATTACATATGTTGAGTAAAGGCATGGGGAAAGATTCAGGTCAATCCAAAGTCGAAACACCATTCTTATTCTCAGGATCGCTCTTCTAAACTCAATATTATTTTGAGAATCTAAAATAGGCAAATGATTTTTTTTTTTTCAAAATCATTATAAGAATCATTTCTTATTAAAAATGATGCCAAATGGAGCCTTAGCTTTTCTCTCCATTTATAGTCTAAAATCTAAATGAATCCAAGTTACATATGGGCAGCAAGCATTCCCTCAGTGTTAGCAGAAAATTGATTGATCAAAACTTCATTAACCCAATTATACTACCTAATCTTCTAATCTTTTATCTTGGTTTTGGCTCTTCCTATCAGAGTTTTTCTCTCACAAGTCACATCTGTGAGGTTGTCTGTTTTCTTCTACTTACTGGTATCTCATGGTGAAGTCCTCGTGGATCATTTGGAAGGGAGTCTTTTGTTTTTGAATGATGTAGAGGAAGTATTCAGAGGTCCATTGCAATTAAAGTCCAAGAAGGATTTTCCTCATCTTGATAGTCCTTATGACTGGGGACACTATTGTGGCTCAAACTTACAGGAGATGAAAGTGCATTTTTTCTAATGGGGTGACTTTTTAATTCATTGCCTGGGTGTGTGTGGGCGGGGTCATTGGGGGAAGCATTGCTGGTGATGCTTTCCCAGTCACTGCTGTACCTGGAGTTCGTGAAGCCACAACTAGCATTGCCCAATATTTGATCCAAATTTCAAGCAACACTGTTCATGGTTATTTCCAATGCTTTCTTTAGTCTTTAGACCTGAAGATGGATACATTGTGGAACTGATTTGGTCTAGTTGGAAGATTCTATGGCATTGATAATGGGCTAGCTACTGATAGCATTAATTGTTTCATAGTTCTGTCAGGGGATGAGTTTGCTGTTGTTGAGTCTGGCGCCAGAATTGGAGAAGACAACTTTTCTGGCGATCTGTTTCTTGATGTTTCGATTTTTGTGGAGCTTAAACCAGGTAATTTGTGCCCATCTCCGTGGATACCTTGATCTTTGGAGTGCTATTTTTGAAGAGGTGGCGGTTACCATCTACAATTTTGAAAAACGGGCAAGGCACTTTAATTTGGTTAATAAAGATCTGGGCTGGTCAACACTGTTTTTACGGGAGGAGGTGTTTGGCTTCTTCTTGCCTCCTCTTAAATCTTCATTTATGTTTTGATTTGCCATGGTTGTGGGGTTTTCCATGGAAAGTTCTCCTTCCAAAAGCCTTAAGTTTTATTCCAGGGAGTCACACTTGCTGAAGTTAATCTCTATTGGAGGCAGTTGGTCTTCCATTTTGGCACCTCATCAACTTTGCACCGTTTGCAGAGGTTTCTTGAACTGTTCGCTCCCCCTGTTTGTGATTATCTGTTTAGTGTTCAGCAAGTTTAGTTTGATCTCTAAGGCTGTATTTTTTCTCTTTCTTGCTGTTTTTATTTCCCAGTTTGTAATCAGAGCATTTATGAATGAATTCTGCCTTTTAGCTTCAAAAATTCATGACGCTTACAAATTTGAAGCATTTATAACTTAAGCATTCTTCTTGTACCATACAATTTTGTCATTTTTCTTTATTTTTTGTTGTATGACTAGTATAAAACAAGTATGGGACAATTATATTTGTGTGTTTTGTTTGAGATCTTCTATCCTATTAGTAAGTTTTTATGCATTTAACTTGCCTTTTTTATTTGGCTTGGGAGAATAAATTAGGTCTGATTTGTGATTAAACAACACATCTACCTAGAAGACTGGGACCCACACCAACATAACTGTATTTTGTTTAGGACCTATCTGTGTGGMAAGTCTTAGAAGTCCTTTGGCTAGATTTTTTTATTTGAATTAAGTAACCAAAACCTACTATCTACCCTCCCACTAAGTCATCCTTCTCATCCATTATTTCAGTCTGAATCATGAATCTGCAACAGCCCAACTTCTCCATTTCTATGTGTTCTAAGGCGTTAGTTCATTTAAACGAGTATTAGAATCAGTAATTATACAAAATAACAAGAAGAGTATGAAGCTCACTGCAAATGGTTGCAATATGGACTTGGTGAACTGTCTCAGTTTACTGAACTCATTACTTGAACACAGGTTAGTATGTGAAATAGTATTTGACCACTTATGGTTGATGATTCCATTTATAAATAATTAATGAATTAAAAGTTATATGATGAGATCCAAGGGTCACTAATTTCGGCATTTTTCCATCTAAAGGAATCAAATGTTAAAAATAATTGCTAGAACCTATGCAAGAGCCATGAGGTGTCAGTTTAGCTGCTAGAAGATTGCACAAAAAATGAACAAGAAATGGTGATAATGAGTTGTCAAGTTATATGTTTATACTTACATAAATTATATACATTATTTGATATGATACATATAATATTTAGGTGGTGTTCTGCTCATGGTTCATTTGGATGTTTTACTATCTATTTTGTAAGGGGCAGATGGTTCACTCGTATGCTTATTTAGGTTTGATTGATTTGCTTACTTTTGTATTTATTTCTTTACTTTTTTTATCATGTGAAGAAGTTGAGGAGTGGCTGATATGGTAAATTGACAGTAATATTACTCTTTTAAATGTAAGATAAGAAGATAGGGAGTCATATTTCAACCCTCTTAAAACTTTTTCTTGGCATGTTGCTTCCTCTAATAAGTCTGTTTCTTGTAAGTGGTTCCAATTGCTGCATGTTTGATTTTGTAAGCTTTACATCTATGTTGCAGATTCAATGAATTGGAAGTGTACCACAGGCAGCAACCAGAATTCCTGCAACTGCACAAGCTTCAGTGGCACCTTCAACTGCACAACCATCAGTTACTTTAACTTGTAATTGTACTGAGAATACATCACACGAAGGACATAAGTAGTAACTAGTCAAAGAAGGGTAAGTATTGTCTTCTCAGTTCTCTTTTATCCTTTTAGGTCTCTGTCTTGAAAGATGCGACAAATGCTTGCCAAAATGAACATGTAATTGAAGAAGCCTGAGGAGTTGACCTTATTTGACAACAGCAGCAAAAGCTGTTGCTTCAGGAACTTCAACCCTCAACACAGACACAACCACACCTGTAGGTTCTGCCTTCCCAACAAGTTTCTCAAATACCAATGGCACAGCTTCAAAAGCAGCTATGCCATTAGCAGAAATAACAAATTGAGCAACCTTCCTTATCCTCTTAAGTCATTTATGTGCTACTTGGTTTATTCTAATATAAATTTTTTGGTTCATCTACATATAAGCAATGGTCTTATATGGAATATGATTGGTATTAAAGACATGCTGCCATTCATCTTGCTTTGGTTAATAAGGTCTTGTTATTACTATTCTTACTATTTCAATGGCATTTTAATCTGTAAGCTTCAAATTTACTATATATGCACATGCATGTATACATATGCCACTATGCATACAAATATATATAAATAAGGAATATGTGCATGGACAAAAGTTTAAGTGTTCAACACCCCAATTGGTATAAAAGCAAGACTTGTCTGTCCAGTAGCCTTTGATTTCCAGAGTGTAAAAGATTTTCTATCTATTTTATTTACTTGCACTTTCCACTTTAACTGGAACAAAAACTATCTACTGGACACTGTTATATTCACTTGTATGTATCTGTGAATGTCATATCTTGAATTCTTGGTTGTTCTTTCAATCACACAAATATCCCAGAGTAGTATTCTTTCTTGATAATTTTGTCATCTATTCAGAAATTTTTTCTTATATCAGTTTGCTGTTGAGCTTGAACTATACATTTCATACTAATTTTAGGTCTCAATTGGAATGATTGAATTTGGATGAATTGTATAAATCATAAAATTTACAAATTCAATAGTGGGATTTGAACAGTAACAATACGATATTTGTTGAAAAGGATTAAGACATAAGATTTGAATTGAAACCTTTGGTATTCATGATCTGAATCTTGAGTTCTGTTGTAAATTGTAAGATTTTGACAACCATGGTTTCTTGGTGAAAAATGCTTTAGTTGTGGTGGAGGATAATACTCTCATCCTTCTAGGTTTTGGGACAATTTATTTTCAAAATCCCGTTAGAAGTTTGAAAGGTAGCAAAAAGGGAAGACAAGATTCACAGGGATTTGTTCTTTCCAATTGACACCTATTGCATTATATGAAGGGAAATAGAAAGTTTATCTTGCCATAGGTGGCTGAATGTATTACGTGATCCAACTTGGAAAAAAGTGTTCCCAAATCTCCACTTATCATTACTTTCCTTGATGAGATTTTGGACTGTTAGTCTTACCAGCATTTAATGCTAATATCATTTCTACTTGTAAGGTTTCCAAATGATGTGACTCAATGGACCATCCCATTGATCTGGACCAATCCAAATTGTGGTTTGAGGAACACTAAAGTGGGAAGATTTATCCTGCCATTGGTGGGGAATGGATTATGATCCAAATTGCAAAAAATATTCTTAAAATTTCAATTATCATTACTTTCCTTGATGAGGCTCTGGACTGTTATGCCTGCTGGCATTAATGCCAATATCATTTCGACTTGTAAATTTTCCAAACGACATGACTGATCAATGTACCATCCCATTGATCTAGACCAATCCAAATTGTGGTTTGAGGAGCACTAAAGTTGGCTAGTGGTTGAAGGAACAGTTGCTTGGTGAGAGAGCCTTAAATTTGAATTAGTGTAAAATTTGGCATCTGGCCCTCTGTGATGGTCCTCACATGTAATGGTGAAATTATAGCACCTGTTCAATTACTCCTTGTGTGATCTTTGTTTTACAATTGGAGTTCTTATTTTCTGTTGACTCTTCATTAGCGAAAATGCTGATGACATTTCTTGATTCATTCAAGGCTTTTTGGCTTGGTGCTTCTAATTACCAAAATTCCCTTCAATTGATGCATGTTCTTATAAAAATCAGGAAAATTGTTGAGTTCTCATAAGCTTCTATCATAATGGAATATAAAAATTTCTAGTTTGTTCTTAGTAGTATCGTGAAGTAGTCTGAGGGTGGAGAAAGTTGGAGGTAACCGGACTTGGTACTTTTGGTTGTCTTGTGTGAAACTGTAGAATAGTTTTTATTTTCTTATACAACTTCAAGAAGAAATAAGTGACAACAATCCCAGAAATACTAATAATTCCGCCCTTTTGGTATCCCAGCCCACTATGATGTATCAAGACCAATGTTGTCAAAAGCTTACAATTTTATGATATGATTCACAATTTGAATCATGAATCCCAAGGGTTTTGTTTTGAATCTTATGTCTGAATCCTTTTTTGCAAAAATCTTGTGATTTTTTTTTGAATCCTATGGTTGATTTATAAATCTTACGACTTATACGATGCACTGTGTTTCAAATAAAGTCAATTAAGAATTAGTTCTCTACTTTGTTACGTTTTGTTTATATTTAGTTTTGTTATGGGAGACTTGTTTTAAAGCCCTTACTAAAAAAATGATTTATTTATGTTATTTAAGACCAAACATCGGGTTTGTTTTACATCATATGTAGGCTAGAGAGCCATTATATGTGATTTTTTTTTTCCTTTCAAGTCAAACTTGATTTATCATCTTAGGCTTCTATTGGACAAGTGTTAAAGTCTATTGTTTTAGGTATATATATTGTAGATATGGATTAAACATTTTTTTCTGAAAAGTAAAGCCATAGTGTAAAATCATCCTCTACATATTTAGCCTTTTAGTATATTTATAATTATTTTTTTGATAAGTTTGTAAAAAATATAAATAATCTTACAATTTACGATCCAGTTCATGATTCGATTCAATTCAAGTTTCTCTATAATTTACCATATGATTATGATTTTGAAAAAAAATTGATCAAGACAATTTTTATTAGTTATTGTGGATAATGATTTTGTAATTTCTATTATTTATTTGTAAACATTATTTGTAAAAAACTATTTATTTACAAAAAAATTATTTATTTGTAAAAATTATCTTGTACAAGGGCTCTTTTATTAGCCCTCTTTTTGTTTAGTTGTTTGGCAAAGCTCTCTCCTGCTATTTGTTCTCAATTCTTAATACAACACTATTTCCATCTTTCTCAAAAATAAAGGTAATTGTTGTTAACTGGACGCTTTGGCTTTTGAGGAACTTGGATACACATAGTTGCCAACAGCAACCAGGTCAGTTGTCGATCCCACTTGCTTCCAACAGGTATTTGGCACTAACCCTTTTGAGACTCTCCACCCTCTTATCTATCATCATTATTGAGCTCCTTATGTCTGCAACTACCACAGGGAGTTCAGGTTGCACAGGATAGGATGTGGGAAAAGCGAGTCTGCTAGTTATTTACTTTCTTCACATAGGATTAGGAAGATATGGGCTAAGGACTTTTAGTTTTTTGATCAGTCATAAAAAATGAGGATATATTCATGGAGTGATTTGTTTTTGTCCTTGACGTCTAGCTCATCAATTTGGTTTTGACCCAGCATTAAAAGAATAAAATAAAATAAAAAAAGGATTTCTTATGAATCTTATCCATCAATGATGGTCCTTGCATGGGATAGCCAGTTGATTGAGCATAACCTAGGTACTTTGCAAGCAAGAGTTTGGATGGCCTTAGCCAAATACTCTTGGGAATATCAACCACATTTTCTTAGTGTCCAAAAAAATTGATGCTTTCGATGGTTAAAATAGTCATCTGGTTGGAGCAATTTTCCTAGGATGTTCATTAATTTGGACATACTAGTGTTATTTGTAACCTGTTGCATATATGATAAAACTATAATTGAAATACTGCTCTTTCCCTTGTGTTTATTCTGATGGAAACTTTGTTTGTGGGCAGGAACTTGAAGTGGAAAGAAGGCATCTAAGGTGGCATACCAGCAGAGAAGTATCACCATAGATTCAAGTGGCATTTCCCTCAAGTTCCAAATGGTTATCTGTATCACCTGATCGATTAATATTAATTAGTTAGTCCACACGGTAATCATTTCTCTTAGATCTTTCTGTTGTCATTACCAATTAAAATCTTTGATCTTTCCTTCTCTGCAGCGTGGTTATTGTTATGGATTTAAAAATAAAGCATCAAACTGATGAGATGTATATAGTCTTGTTCATGTTAAACATATTTGGTGTGTGTGTGTGTGTGTAATAAGGGGTGTGAGGGGGGTTGTCAATGGGTGTTCAAACATCTCTTATGTTTAAACTTCCCTTGCTGGTGAGATGTGCTGCCTCCTAATTTGTTATACAGTAACAAATTCAGAAAAAAAAATGCAATACAAAATCAGATTTAGAGTCTTTTCTTTTTGTGAATTTTGATAAATATCACCTGATTGGTTTCCTATCAAATAAATAAATACCACCTGATTGATTACCACTTTTGTGATACCAGTTGATTGGTTACAAGCTTTTCTGGTATCATAGTTGAACCCTTTTGCAAAAAAAGGTAATAAACTTTGCTGAAATAACAAAAACAGTTGTGTTTAGGGAATAATGTTCAAATTGGTGAGTAGGAAAATAATTAAAATTTTTGGACAAAATTAGCACTGAAAAAGGAAAAAAGTTTGATGGCTTCTTGTTTAGTAGCAGATGCACATAGAAATGGTTTCTACATTTTCCATTGTCTTTGTGACAGTTCCATTACTTTGTAGAGTGATTTTGCAACGATATTTATATGTCATTTCTCAACCAAATTGCTTCATGTTCTTGTTCCAACTTCCAAGCACCCCAAACGCTTCATCTGCATATTTCTCCTCTTCCACTTTTTTGTTGTCTGATCTTTTCATTTGATCATGACAATATAGTCATCACCATTGAAACTGATATTACCTTCACTGGTTACAAGTTTAACCAACCTTCCTGTTCTGTTAAAAACATCCCAAATGAGCTCCTTGGCTTCTTCATACTTACCAGAGACATGGAAGTACACCATATGAAAATTGTTGTGGAGTCAAGATACAGATAAAGAAACTTTTCTCTCACAAAGATGGTACAAATAGTAAAGACCATTTCTATCTACATCTGCCACTAAACCCGTGCCTATCCAACTTTCTCCTTTTTTTTAAAGTCTAATTTTGTCCAAAAAAATTAATTATTTTCCCATTCACTACTGATTTGAACATTATTCCTTAAACACAATTAGTTTTGTTGATTCAAAATGTTTATTACTTCTTTTTTTTTTTCTGGAAAAGGCCCTTGAAGAAAAAACGTTGAATCTGGTTTTCTGTTGCATTTTTTTTTGCTGAATTTGTTGTATAACAAATGAAGAGGCAGCACATCACATTAAATGCAAGAAGTTAACATGTGAAACAATGRAAGGCCCATTAACAACCTCCCTCTCTTGCCCCTTTTCTGCTTCCACTACTGTTGTTGCTGTTTCCTCCATCAGCCAACAGCTGCCACTCTTGTTATTCTTCTTCTTCTTTAACCACTTTGTTATTTTAAACTATTAGCCTGCAGATTTCATATAGGAATCTATTCTATTTGATTATTTACTAGTATTGATGATTCTAAGCTGAAGTGAAATCAGGTATCCTTTCTGAACTCACGGCAACCAATCTAGAAAAATAATTCAGAAGACAACCTCTTTTATCCTTGTTTCTTTGGTGGTTACAGAACGACTTCTGCTTTCCTACTTCAAATTGAAAATTCAGAGAAGAGACCAAGAAAATGTCCATGAAGGAGGACGGGTATCTCTCTCTCTCTCTCTCTCTCTCTCTCTCTCTCTCCACATCAATTTCATGCTCTCAATGCTCTTTAATTTTTAACATCTTTGGATTTCAGTCTTTTAATTGCTTCAGCACTGTCAGACGTGCAAATTAATGTGCATGGAGTCCACTTCCGCTTGAAGAAAGTAAGGAACAAACACTGAGACGGCCCAAGAATATTTCACTACTTATATTTATTTGTTTTCTTCTGCATATGTAATTTTTTGTTCATTTCCTTTGTTCATAGAAACTTCTTGTTGCAAAATCTGCTAAACTTGCTAAATTACTTGAAAAAAATCAACATGAAGATATATCCCACTTGCTCCCAGACATACCAGGTGATTCTCAAACATTCGAACTTGCTGCAAAGTTCTTCTATGGTCATGAGCTGAACTTGTCTGCCGAAAATGTCATCCCACTTGCTTGCCTTGCTCATTATCTAGAAATGACTGATGATTTCAGCCCCAACAATCTTTACGATAGATGTCTATCATTCATGGAACAATGGGTTTTCCCCAGCTGGAATGAATCCATCAAGGCTTTCCAAAGCACGGAACTTGTTATTAGACAAGCTCTAGAACTTGGCCTGATAAATTCTTGTTTGGATTCCATTGTATCAAAGGCAATTTCTAAACCCGACCTCCTTGGAAAACCAATCAAGAATCCTATGGATGGTGACAGTGGGGATGGAAAAAATGGTTATTATCCAAGTGCAAGAAGAAGGCTTTATGTCCCTGATTGGAAACAAGATCAGTTGATCACATTGACACTCCAACATTATCTGTTTGTCATGACTGCCATGATTCACAAAGGGATTCAATCAGAATATATCACAGGTTGTCTTCTCCGTTATTTGGAGAAGTGGGTATATTGTGTGGTTGGAGGGGTAGGCTTGCCTCTTCATAAGAAGAGGGAGGTTATTGAACAAGTGGAGAAGTTATTGCCTGATGAGAGGGAACTAGTACCTTTCAAGTACTTGTCTGAAATGCTACGGTCAGCAATCACCTTGCAAGCTAGCTTAGACTGTAGAAATAGACTTGAAATCAGGATGGGGAAGAAACTAAATGAAGCCACGGTTGTAGATCTCTTGATACCTTCTCAAGGTTATGCTAGGGAAGAGAAGTACGATACTGAGTGCATTGGAAGGATTGTGAAAAGCTTCTATGCCAATTATAATTCATCAGATTCAGCAGAGTTAGTTGGAGTTACAGAGCTCATTGAAGAATTCTTGTCTGAGGTAGCAAGTGATGTGGCTTTGAAGAAGGATACATTTATATCACTGGCAGAGATGGCAATTGCGACATCATTGGGAATTCAACGAAACACTGATGGAATATATAGAGCCATTGATATTTATTTGGGCAAGCATGGGTACCTGACAGAGACAGAGAGAGAGGAGGTATGTCGGGTGTTGGATTGCCATAAGATGTCTCAAGAGGCACGTGAGCATGCTAGACAGAATGAACGGTTGCCACTGCGAGTTGTAGTACAGGTACTATATGTGGGACATTTGCAGCTGCGGGATGCAATCGCAAATGGTGATATGCTGGATTCTTATGGTAGGTGTCAGAGGGTGGAAGGTGGAGAGAATGCAGTTGTTGGGGTGGACAGGGACAACCATAGTCAGGGTACTGCTGCTAGTGAGGAAGAGCTGCTAAGAGCAGAGATGAAAGACATGGATGATAGGGTAATGGAGTTGGAGAAGGAGTGTTGTAGGATGAGGATAGAGATGGAGAAAAGTGGTGGTGGCAGTCATTCTGTAGTGAAGAAGAAGGGAAGCATGTGGAAGCAGCTGAAGAGGAAATTTGGTTGCATCAGAAACAGCATGCATGAATGTAATTGCCAGGTAAAGAAGAAGAAGGTGCATCCAAAGAATTGTGCCTAATTAATCTGTAAGCCTTCTAACTTCATCCTAGTCATGTGCAGCTTCTATCTGGATTTCTTTTCAGTTTTTCTCCTTTTTGAGGCTTAATCAATTATTGGTTGTTTAGAGATCATCAAATAAAATTTACTTCCGGAAAAATTTTGAAAAGGAAAAATAAAATGTTGATACCTGGATTGTGGCAAGTTCAACAGGGTAACTATATTTATACATCAACATAGGAGCAATGATGAGAAAGTGCAGAGTGGCGTCATAGTTCATTAGTAGTCAATAATCACCCTATCCTGTATTCTGCAATGGTTTGCCTTTGACTACACGGGCTTTGTGGCTAATATTATTAATAATCACCCTTGCACCCCTCCACTAATTTTCTGTCAATTTCATTGAGAGAGTATTCACGTGACATTTGAAACTTTTCAAAAGCCCAACTCATAATCGCTTGCTCTTGTACATCAAAGAAAGTGATGTCAAGCTTATCTTCACTCTTCAAGGTGGGGGCAGAAGTCAAGCTCTTATAGCTCTTAAAGGTCGTGTCTTTGGATTCAGATGAATCCAGTAACTAATACCTTCCTTAGTTCTGGAAATCAAGGCTTTGACTTCACAGATTTGTGACTGCTATTTTTGTTTAGTAAAATGTAATGCTGYTAGAGGCGCTCATTGTTCATATCCCAGCAGCGAGCTAAGATGGTAAATTCTGTTAATGTTTCCATGGGTTGGCTCCCTTCGTTTATAGTGCAAATTTCATCTGCATTGCTGTAAGTGTGCCAAGTGCAAATTCTGCTTTATTTTTGTTTGTTTGAGATGAAGATCATTATTTCTTAAGAAGAATATGAAGTGATATGGTCCTCGCTTTATATGAAAGAGAATTGAGGATAACAAGAGATTTTGCATCAGTTTGATGGTCTGATCATCAGCTCTCAACCGAGTCCTACAACTCTGCTGTAAACAAATAGTAAATAGATCAAGGATTTGTTATGTGACAACCTTACTTCTTGGTTTCAAGTAAATATCCCTTTCATCCTCTCCAATCCACCCAGGAAAAAAAAAAAAAAAATCACCAGCAAAGGATCTAACAGAGGGAGAACCTAACCAATTCCTAGCAACATTCTTAATATATTTAAGCATTTTGGGCATGCATGCACAATCTGAGGTCCCTACATTTTCAGGGTCCAGCTTGGATTTCAGGCTTCATGATTTATGTGATCCTGGGCAAAGTGTTGGTTCTGGCTATCCAAGATTTTGGGAAGGTAGGACCGATACAGACCTAAAATTTGGCATCCCTTCTCTGACTTATCTGATATGGGTATGACTTTAAATGTCAGGAATAACCTAGTTTGGTTTGGGCTTTTAGTGATGTCTCAGCCCTCAGGTAATACGGGCTTGGACTAATAGAGCTAAAGCCTGGTCCAACTTGACCCCGGCCCAGCTTTTGAAAAATAAAAAAACAAGTACGAGTATGTCTGGCATGCACACAATGTTCCTAGGAGTGTTCATCAAAATCTGAAAAGCCAAACCGAACCAATGAAACTGAACCGAAAGTTTGGTTTCATTTAACCAATATGAAAAGCTGGTGATTAAAATAACTTACCGATGTATATAGAATTCATATTGTATATTTATTTATAGGGAAAATTCTTCATAGGTGTTTATACTTTAGGTCGAGTGTCAATTTAGTATCCAAATTTTAATTCAATTTTCATTTTGCCATAATTTAGTACCTATCATTATCATTAGACTATCAGTTATGTATATCACGTGACTGTGATTTTACGTGTGATTTAAGATTTTTTAAAATATCAAAATTACCCTTGAATACTGTTCATCGTCTTCTTTCTCAAGAAAAGTTCAAACATACTATTCATCATCTTTTTTATCAAGAAAATAAATAGAGTGGTGTCCGGTTCCACCCCAACCGGCCAGACGGCCATCCACCACCAGCCAGATGTTTTTCACCCCAACAAACAGAGTTGCAGCAGTTTTTCACTGAAAGGGGTGCTGTCGCCATTGCATATCTGAACCGGCGAAAAACGTGCAGTGGTGGATGGCGGCGACGGCACCCCAATGAATAGAGTTGCAGCGGTTTTTCGTTCAGAGGGGTGCCCATCATCGTTGCAGATCTGAACCGGCGAAAAACGTGAGGTGGTGGATGGCGGCGAYGACACCCCAACGAACAGAGTTGCAGTGGTTTTTCGCTGAGAAGGGTGCCATCGCCGCTGTAGATCTGAACCGGAAAAAAACGTGCGGTGGTGGATGGCGGCGACGGCACCCCAACGAATAGAGTTGCAGCGGTTTTTCGTTGAGAGGGGTGCCCATCATCGTTGCAGATCTGAACCGGCGAAAAACGTGAGGTGGTGGATGGCGGCGACGACACCCCAACGAACAGAGTTGCAGTGGTTTTTCGCTGAGAAGGGTGCCATCGCCGCTGTAGATCTGAACCGGAAAAAAACGTGCGGTGGTGGATGGCGGCGACGGCACCCCAACGAATAGAGTTGCAGCGGTTTTTCGTTGAGAGGGGTGCCCATCATCGTTGCAGATCTGAACCGGCGAAAAACGTGAGGTGGTGGATGGCGGCGACGACACCCCAACGAACAGAGTTGCAGTGGTTTTTCGCTGAGAAGGGTGCCATCGCCGCTGTAGATCTGAACCGGAAAAAAACGTGCGGTGGTGGATGGCGGCAACGACACCCCAACGAGTAGAGCTGCAGCGGTTTTTCTATAAGAGGGGTGTCGTTGCCGCTGCAGATCTGAACCAGCGAAAAGCGTGCGATGGTGGATGGCAGCAACGACACCCCAACGAACAGAGTTGAAGCAATTAGAATTGCACATCGTGCCCGGTTCCACTCTAACGAACAGAAATCGGAAGACAGCCTGATGTTTTTTGCCGCTGCAATTCTATCGGACGAATAACCGCTGCACATCGTGCCCGGTTCCACCCCAACGAACAGAGTTGCAGCGGCGATGGCATCCTTCTCAGTCTGAACAGAATCAGTTTCATTATGGGTGGTCAGAGAAATGATTGAAGGAGAGGTTTAGATTCCCGGAAAGTGATTTCAAATCATCGAGATCGTCTGGGATCAATCCGTTGAATTCATTTGATGACAAATCGAGTTGAACTAAGTTGTCGATGATATTAGATTGTCACGTTTTAAAATTTAGGTACTAAATTGGTACGTACAGGATACTTATCGGAAAATTTCCCTTATTTATAATATATTATAAATCTAAAAAACTGAAAAACCAATGCTCAAAAAGCAAAACAGCCGACCAGTTAATTGGTTGGTTTTAATTCAATTTTTCAAAAAGCAAAGGACCAACTCGGTTTGGAAAAAAAAAAGTCCACTGTTCGATTAATTGAATTGTGAGCACCCGTAAATGTTTCTATGTTTACACGACGCATTTGCATTTCTGGCATTTGGCCTAAACCCACAAATGCACTCGACCCCCTATTTTTGATAAGCTGAGCACCACCATTTTCATTTAGGGACGTGAGTACAACAATACCCTCTATAAGGTTATCATTTTGGTTTATTTGACTAGGGGTACCCGTTTAGGCGTTTATCAAAAATAGAGACACTTTCAACTAACTGAAGCTAGTTCAACTAAAAGCTTTGGTTCAGCTGCATAAATAACATAAGCTGTTTGTTGGGAACTGGCTTAGTGGCCTAAGAAGTCAGATGATCTACGCAAGTACAGCTATTCAAACAGGCTGAAGTGGATATATAGACTTTCAACTAGCTGATTGATAGCCAATTTAGCTCTCAGGATGTTTCACCAAACATAGTTTATAGGCTGTTCATGTGATCCCAGATAGGGAAAGCCAAAAGCCACTGATTCAGCTCTCCCATATGGACACTTAAATTTATACTTGCAGAAAGGCTATTGCATTTTCTATACAACATTCGTTAGCTAGTCTCCTCCTCATCATCTAATCCTTATCTTAATTCTTAATCATGGATTTTGAATTGTCATTGACCCGGACAGTTGGACTGTTCAACCTAGAAACTATTCAGGCAACTGGTTTCATTTCACCCCTGACCCGATTTTTTGTTAAAAACCATTGATTTGATTAGTGACCCACTGATCCATGCAGTCAAACCATTGATCCGTTCAACTTGGACAAGGGTTTTTGTCCGTTTTTTTGTTTTAATTATTTTTTATTTTTTTATTTTTATAAATTGCAATAGGCCGTTTGTTTGGATTGGACAGTCAAACCACTGACCTAGAAACTGGTGGTCAAAACGGTTTCAATTTTGGATTAATTTTTAAAACATTGATCCCAACTATATGGGCCGGCTGCATGGATCCTGCCTATGCCATTCCATTCTATTTCATGCCATATCCATTGTTAAATTATGAATACTTAAATCAGTCCTTACTATTTCAATTCGTCTTTTTTGGTTTGCCCCTAGTTCTTCTAGCTCAGTAATCATCTTTTGAACACATACACAAAAGAGGGGAGAGATCAATTTCTACACTCCAGGTCCCACTTATTTGACAATTTTTACAGGCTAAGCATAGTCTAACCGGTATTATAGATCAGTAAAACTGTCAACCGGTGAGCTTCATTAGAACATTGTTTTGTTCTAAAGAACCATATTTTGGTTCAAATATATGAAAAACACATGAAACGAGAAGAGGAACCGGTCTGCTTTCACATAAATGAACTGTAGCCAAGGCCAACCCTTTTCTCAGGAAACCCAGTCTAAAATGAAAGAAAATCAAATTGGGTTGCTTGAATTCAGACTGAGCGGCTGCAAGACCAACATTGCCAATCAGTCTGGACGAAAGCTGACTTGATATAAATGACATAACAACTTGATCTGGTGGTTTACCAATTGCTGATACATTCACGAAAGCTTATGCTTAGACTTTTCAGCACCAACCATCCAACTTGTACCCCCAACGAGTTATTTAACAGAACCCAACCGTGAAATAAATTTGTGGCTCTCATTATATATATATAGTTGAGACTGGCAAGCTGAAAAGTCTTAGACAGGTTTGATTCCTTGAACACATGATGTGCTGCAGAATTGTAATAATAGACTAACCTACTAGCACGTTTCTGGTGGTCTTGGGACTATATTTTTTGCTTTAATGCTTCCATAGTGATTGTAGTGATGTTTTCATTTTTT